AGACATTATTGTTGCTGCGCCCGACGCGCTAACCTGTGGTAGTTGGCTGCGGCGCTGATCGCTGCCGATGTTTCCGCTTGACACCGCGGGTTGCAGGGTGTTTCTGCGCAACAGATGCACGTGGGGTTTTGGCCTTGGAGGTTTTATCGTTGGTCTGGACTGCCTGCTCCTGCCTTTTCTTTTTCTTCTTAGCGGCATTGGGGCCCATGGCTCTGTCGGCGCTGCCAGACGCCGTGGCCTCTGCACCGTCGGGCCCTTCATCGCCCCCTGTTCCGCTTTCCTTTGCTCGCTTCTTTTTGGCGAGAGAGGCGGCGATAGCCCAGGCGCGTCTCTTGGCCTTCATGAGAACTGCTCTGAGGGGCAACAGCAACATACCACAACACACAAAAAACTCAAAATGGGTTTTAATTAAAACAGGGTTTAAATCCATGACTCGCGTCTGAGTTGCAGGAACAAGCTAGAAGAACAACACGCGGGCAGGGCTATATGCTCTTACTTTGCAATCGGCCGTATGGGTTTCCGACGACGGTGAGACCCCATTTTGCTCTTGGGCTGTGCATTACCCATGTACTTCTTTCGGCCCTTGACCTTCAGGTTGCGAGTTAGCTTAGTGCTTAAAAATGTGGGAATTTTGCTGTTCGGGCTCTTCTGCATTATTTGCACTATAGGCCTCAGTCTGGGCACGTCGTCTAAAGTGAAGAAAGTCAGCGCCTGAGCGCGCCAGCATACAAAAATGTGCCAGCACTGAGCATTGATAGACGGACAAAAGACAATAGGCATACAAGCAAACAGACAGCAAGCCAAACCAGAAATAGCAAACTAGCAATAAGGGCCGAAGCATGCAAGCGCACAGGAAACCAAAAAGCAAACAATACATGCAAAGGAGCAATCATGCAAACAAAAGACCACTCAGGTACTTGTAGAGAGTGTGTTTCTAGACAATAGCTCAGAGGTGCACAGTAAATAACTCGTCCCTAAAAGCCGCACGTCAGCGGCTAGAGGACGTATCGATCCCGAAAAGTAAGTGAACCAAAGTCCTCACCTTCCCCTCCTTGCCAGCTCTTCCAGTTCTGCCGATGCGGTGTATGTACACCGAAGTGGAAGGGGGTAGGTCGAAGTTAATTACGAGGGAAACACCTTTGAAATCAATGCCGCGCGCCACGAGGTCTGTGCAGATCAGGAACCAAATCTGTGTCCACAAAACGCAGAAAAGGCCGAATTAGGCACTGCACGCAGCCCTGAAGAGATTGTATGCAACCCAGCCTACGTCTGCCTTACAGCCGCAGCCGGCTAAGTAGGCTTTGAAGAAGTTCCTCGCAACCTATGGGGCCGGGCTACCTGGGAGTTGGCTGGCGGCAGGAGGCGAACTGCAGAACTGCATGCGGCTAGCCATGGCACGCACATACATGCATGCACGCACTGCAGTTAGTAGCTGCTGCACCGACACACCTTCCCAATCCTGAAAGCGTCTACGGTCGCATCCCTCTGTTGTTTGCTTTTTGCCGCATGCAACAAGTCAACTGGCAGCCCCTCTGAAATCATTTCCTTCAACAGCTCGCTTGCCCTTTCTTGCGTCTGCGCGCCAAAACTCAAGAAAACAGAGAAGCACATCAAAGGAAGTAACCTCCTTTTGCCTATCGCCGCAGAACACAAGCAGCTGGGGCCCACAAGATGCATGCAAAAGGGTGCCCGTATTGGGGAGAAAATAATTGGTGGTACTGATACGTATAGCCAACATTAATAACGCAACAGAACCTAGCAGCGAAAGAAAATAAATGCAATGCAATGGTGCGCTAGCCACATCA